GGAAGGGAAGGGAAGGGAAGGGAAGGGAAGGGAAGGGAAGGGAAGGGAAAGGAAGGGAAGGGAAGGGGGAAGGGAAAGGGGAAGGGAAAGGGGAAGAGGAAGGGAGGGGAGGGGAGGGAAGGAGAGGGGAGGGAGGGAAGATTGGACAAAGGGAGAAGTTGAGCTGAGATTCAGTCTCTATAAAGGCTTTAGATGACCTTGGGGTGGGGGGGTTCCAAAGCTGAGATGACCTTTCAAAGTTGTCTCAAATTGGGGCTAGGGAACCAAGACTTTATATTCCCCAATCTGATCTGTCATTGGATGCCAGCTACCCCAAGAAGGAACATGACTTGGGGCTAGTGGTTCTCTTTGGCCAAGGCCATCCCTAAAGAGGGCTACTAGATGAGGGTTCTAGCAGCCCTCCCAGCAGCCAGGGGAATAAATCCTTTATTTCCGAAGAGGCGTCCAGGTGGCCTTATCTCAGAGAAGCCTGCCCTATTCCAAGGGTTTACTAGCATCTCATTTGGCTCTCACATTCAGCTAAAACTTCCACCATAGTTGTTTTTCTTTTTTTTTTTTTTTCCAGCCCAAAATAGCATGTTTTGGAGTCTATCTGCCCATGTTTGTTTTATTACTTAATTTTCTCAGAAACCTAGACTGGGACAAGGGATGCTAATTAAATCTCAGATATTTCTCAGTATCCTTCCCACTGCTCCCCAGGATCAAGCCATCTTCACCTCTGTCCTGGACTACAGCCGTTTCCCATCTGGCCATCGATTCTACCTCCATTATCCATATCCATCCATTCTACCTCCCCAAAGGGACATTCCAAAAACACAGATCTGATTATCTCACTCCCATGTGTAAAACCCTTTCCTCGGGTGCCTGGCCGGCTCAGTCAGTAGAGCATACAACACTTGATGAAGCCGTGAGTTCCAGCTCGTCATGAGTTGGAGCCCCATGTTGGGCGTAGAGATTATTTTAAACAACAAACAAAAAACAACCCTTTCCTGCTTTCCCCTTAGCCTCGGAGATAGGGTCTAACCTTAACAGGGCTGAGAAGGCCAACAAGATTTTATTTGAGCTCCCTGGTCTGGTCTGATTCTGTTAACACTCCCTTATCCTTCAACTCTGTCCTTGATGTGCCAACAAGAGAAAAGTACTTGCAGTCTCCATCAGCACCCCAATGGTTTTCTTGGCTGCGCTTTTTAAATATTTCCTTCCTTCCTTCCTTCTCCAGTCTCACTCACGTGAATGTGAGCATCTTGGGGGCTGAGGCACTTCTATGTTCTTACACCAGGCACTCAATAAATATCAAGTGAATGCATGAATGTATCTAGAAAGGATTTATATGCTTACTTCTTAGCAGCGGCCACTAAACCTGGGAAAATGTTTAACCTTACTGTGAAAAAGGCACTCTGAAACAAGGAGATACAACTTTTCACACAGAAATTGGCAGAGTTTCTAACAATACTTAAGGCCACCAAAGGTATGGCAAAATGGGCACTCTGATACAACGCAAGCATCAGACAAGCATTTTGGCAATATGCAACAAGTCTTAAGATACTTAAATCACGTGCTGTAATAATTGCACACCTATGGATCTATCCTATCTAATCAGAGATAGAAGTAAAATTTATATACAAAGGTATTCACCATAACATGTTTTCTCTTGTACTCTCACACTGTTCATATGTTCCATAATGGGCGTGTTTTAGTTTAAAAACCAGCAAAATGTTAGTAAAATGCTGATAGGGTTAGAGTTCGCATCACAGCTAACGGGAGCCAGCCTCTGGGACAAACCCATGCTTGTTGCTTCCTGGAAATGGCAGCAGATTGTTCCCTCGCACATTGTCCCGGAGATGATCTGGGCGGCCAATAAAATATGACAGAAAAAATGGCACACGCATTTAAGATTAGGTTCTAAAAGACTCTACAACAACCATGTTAGTCTCTTTTTCTTACTCACAGATCAGACGCTTTTGGGGAAAGCCGACTGTCCTGTCATGAGGGCACTCTATGGAGAGACCTACAAGGCAAGACATTGAGGCCTCTTGGTAAAACCACACAAGTAAGCTTGGAAGCAAATCCTCTGGCCTAAGTCAAGCCTTCAGATGACTGCAGCCCTAATGACATCTTTTTGTTTTAAGTTGATTTTCATTTCTTTATTTAGAGAGAGAGAGAGATAGAGAGCAAGCGGAGGAGGGGCAGAGAGCGAGGGAGACAGAAAACCAGGCAGGCTCTGAGCTGTCAGCGCAGAAACCCTAGAGAACCATGAGATTATGACCTGAGCCGAAATCAAGAGTCAGACACTTAACCAACGGAGCCACCCAGACACTCCATCCCCACTGACATTTTGACTGAAACCCTGAGTCTCCCAGTTAAGCTCCTCCTAGATTCTTG